TGGGGGAACCATGGGGTGTACTGGATGTGTTGGTTGCAGAACCGCAGGCCGCATAACAATGCCGGTGACCGGAGCAGCTTGCGGAGTAACGTTGCCAGTAGGGATGCGAATTTACGTTTTACGTTTTTACGTTTTAAGGAATTAAGGTTACGTAATTACGAATTAAGATTGGACCTGGCCGTAATTTACAGAATTAAGGGCTCGCCGTAATAAGGTCCCTCAGGAGGGGTAGAAACCTTAAAAGCTTAACAGACCCATGGGTCTTACAGGTTCCGCCGGTCTGCAAACCAGGGTGCCGCTGACCCGTCCACTCCTCCGAACACACCACAAACCCAGCCATGGGGGAAGCGTGAAAGAGTCCAACAATGCAGGTTGAAACCCGCGATTCCCTCCGCCCAACCAAGCAAAAGAGCAAGTCAAGTAGTCAACACGACAAGTAGTCCTGGTTTGCAACGGTATTAGGTGTCGTGGTCGAGTATGTATGCACGGCTTTCAATGCTTAACGAAATCCCCATGGGCCCAACCATGAGCCCATCATGCTGAGCCAACAAGCAAAAACAGCCGGTACTGAGGAAGGGAAGCTGCCAGGACTGAAATCGTTTACTGCTCCGGCAGCTCCAGGCCCGGCTGGGCCTCCATCCACCGAATGAACTCCTCCCAGTCCAGCTGCGTGATGGGCGCCTTCTCGCGCTGTTAAAAATATGTAAATAAGTAAAGAATGGTGTTGCGAATGTGAAAACGCTGAAATTGTGCTGAAAATCCAAAATCGTACACTAATACGGCAACCTTAAATTAAGGGTCCAGGGTCCAGGCCGTGGAAACCGTAAATTACAGTAATTTACTATATTACGCTTTTAAGCTTACGTAATTAAGGTTGCCAAATCCCAATTCAGCTGAAACTCACATCCCTAGTTGCCAGCGACTGTTGCAGCTGGCCTCATGTTGTTGTAGCGCGTTGGAGCGTTACAGACCTTAATCGCTGTGTGATTAAGACACGACTCGATTAGACTGATTTAAGAACAGTCTACGAATATCTTGGAGTTTAGGAGTGTTTCCTAACCAAGGAATGGCACGCACTTGAGATACCTACATACACATCGGTTCGAGCAACCGATGTAGATCGG